ACTATAACTTTTTAAGAAAGCAATAAGGGACCATATCCATGTAGGCTTTTTACTGTCTCCATTTATGCTATCGATTGACAGGCAAATGAAAAATAACGAAGTGTGTCACCTCAGAAAGGTCCCTCGTGAGAGATTTGAAAAATTATTCCGAACCCTTGTTTTTTTCTTTATAACATGAAGTTTTGAAAAAAATTATATATTTTTTTGGGAAATATGCATGGAAGTTTTATCAACATTTTTAAAATCAAGTACTCGAGTACTTCTTCGAATATTTGAAAAAAAATATCACGAGTACAAGTAGGACTATGAGTGTTCAAAAGTCTGTATTTGAGTATACTGAAGTACGACTAAATACCCGATCATCTCTAATCATGAGTAAGCCATTTAGTAGATAGAACAGTACAGTTTACAATATGATTTTGATACAGCATGAAGCAAGGTGATTCGGTTGATTTTCTTCTACATCTTAGCAACTTTTGCGGTAGCCTAGTTGTGTTCTAATTTTATTTGTAAAAAGTAAGATTTATAAGTATTAATCTATTACCACAACTTTTTTGTTACAGGTGGTTGTAATCCTTGTGAAGAGATGAAACCGTGTTCCAAATACCTACAGGAACATAGTCGAGTTCCATAAGTTTAATAGATGGTCTATTAAGTCCTCTTAGTGTGTATTACATAATAACCCACAATCAAATTGCTATCTAAGGATATCAGCTTAGCGGTAGCTTCAATTGTATATAAATTATTTAGAATATTTGTTATATTACTCCTAAATCGTTGTTGTTCGCGAATCGAATCAAAACACACTTTTGATTTAAGATTCATTTGTGATTCATTGATTGCATATTGTACATTCAACAAATGCGTTTGAACACTAATGTTGAATTGATTTGTGATATTTTTTCGATACTCATTTGCACGAGATTTGATGAGAACAAGTGCATCATGTTCCCATTGTTCTATCTCATCTAGAACTAATTTCAATTTATTTTGAGATTGATCATAATTAATTCCAATTTTTTTATTCGCTTTATTCAGTTGTAGACGCATTGGCTCTAATTGACATAATCGATTCGATTTTTCTAAAGAAAATTGAGTGTGCGAACAATCCATCTCGATTAATTAACAAAAAATTCATGCTAGTTTTAATTTGTTATTGTAATAAAAAAGCATCAAAGTGTTTACACTCAAATAGTGATAAGAGATTTGACAAGCAAAGCGTGGCAGCATTAAATGAAATGAAACTATTCATAAACAATTATAAACTACACACTTTTATAACTAGTTTAGGTGAAATTTCTTTTTTATTGAACAATTATAACTCTATTTTATCAAAACATAAGATATTTTCGGGATCGGAATAGAAAGTTGCAAGCAAAAGTGTTTCACTACAGTAAAAAAAAAATGTATAGAAAAACCACACACACACACACACACACACAATTAAATATCCTGAAAAATAGAATATTTAAAAAATGTTGAAATAAAAATAATGCACAATATGTAGCCAGTTGGGATGTTGAAGAGTGCTGACAAAATGAGTAAGTGTTAAAGCGTTTAATGAATGTTAATGTAATCTAAAAGAGCGCTAAGTGTACAAGTAAAATAAGCAAATATAAGAACAAGAAAAAGAACGGTGAATGTTAGAATTTTGTTTGATTAAAATAGATCCGATATTATTAATATCTTAATTGTTGTTAGTGTAGTCGTTTTGTCATTAACTGACGACGTTAAGGACAAAAACAACAATCACGTATTGAATCCATTTATTTGCGACTTCCGATATTAATATTCAGATAACTGTGATCATCCGACAATTCTTGAGAAATGGGCATAGATCTGGAACTGACTGAAAAAATATAATGGATTTTACCTTTTTGCTCAATGTATCGTCAAAAAAATAATAAAGCACACTCGAATGGATATTTCAGAAAGAATTCAAAGTTGCAAAATAAGCAATGTGTTTGTTGTTTTAGAAGCGTATTCAAACCCTCAGTGATTCTAAACTAGAAATTCATTTTGCAAATAGTGTTGTTTCTAGCAATGAGGTTTGCAAAAGCATAAAATAGAATGGGAGGCATCTATGATCAAATACCTTTTGATTTTAATATACAAAATGGTTTTCTACCATTGTAACAAGATTGATCTGTATTCGATGAACATTTAATCGATCTACATACTCGATCATTCGGACATGTGATACCCTAGAAATTTAGAAGATGAATTTTAAGGTGAGTTATTTAGATTAGGAAATACTGTCTGAGTATGTACTTTGCAATAGTTATGTTTTGGAGGACATTCTTTTCTTGTACAACCAAATTTATCGATATAAACTGAACCATTCGTACATCGAGGTGGGATCACTGGACAAGAGCTAATTTGTGGCATGGACACTGTTGGAACTAAAACAAAGAGAAATAAATTTAGAAATAATTTATATAGTTAGCAGAGTTTAGTTACTAATAAGCGTTGATGAAGTAGACGTTGTACTTGGATAACTTGTTAAACACGAATTTAATTTATTCAGCTGATAATTGTTCAAAATTTCGTTGGAACCACATTTGTATTGAACTATATAGCGTCGAGATTTGAAATCGTGACACTCATAAATGATTATTGTTTCGTCTGAACCATATCTTGACATAATTTTTGTTCCTTGATCAGGTGTAAAATATTTATTAATAGTGTTGAATGATTCCATTTGAGTACAACGTACAGGTGGTGGTATACATTGTCGAAAACTTTCAAATATTCCGCTAACATAATGCCATTTATTATCAGTATAACATGTATAAGTGACTGTAATCGAGTGATCAAAACTACATCTTAATTCAACATGTTTTTGACTGTAGATAGGATAAACGTTTCGTGGGTGGGTCGGAAGATCACCAATTATGTTTTCCAACTGATGTCGAGAACATGTTTCTAAACAAAGAAAGATGGATTAAGCAATATAGTTTTAATATGATGATTCTGTCTTGATAATAATAATAATAATAATATCACTGTGCAACTTTTACTCTCACTGGTTAGTTATTCAGAGGTAAGAGTCTTCTCTAATTGTTAATGTCGATCTCGTCGCGTTTATGACATTCCCACGCGATTATCTTGAACTCTACGAGATTTTTTAATCTTTTTCAAGTGGAAGTTGAATATGTTAGATATTTGATTAATTTTGCTAAAAATATTTCAATTTTTGAAGTTTATGCTTACGCTTGACTTCCGTATATTGTGTTGATGTTGTAATCGCTCGTGCTGTTCCTGTATGACTGTGGTCGATTAAATTTTGAACAGGTGTTGAAATTATTTCCTTTGCTGAAAAGTACAAGGAACTTTTAAACTCTGCTATTTCGTAATATCACTGTGAACTTACGACAAAAGTAGACGTTCGTTTGATGATTTTGATTAAATTCTCTGAAGTCTCCATCTACACACTGATATTCTAATTGATAGGGATATTCTAAAACTTTACATTTTACCGCCATGTATGTGCGATTCGTTGATACAATAAGCATCTCGTTAAAATGTATACTGTTAACTCGATCAGCGGTTACTGGACAAGCTAAAACATAATATGAGGCATTACGACGCTATGTCGTATATAATCAGATGCTAGAAAAACCCACCATCAACAAGTTTCTGTTTTTTACAAACAAACGGTCCTGCTGCCCATTCTTTTCGTGTTCCAAGACAAGCAAGACCACTGCTACATCGCATATTCAACATGACACGATTACGGTCTTTACCATTACAACCAGATAAACACCATAAATGGTCAGGAATTGTGCTATTACCAATTATATCCCACACATAGGTAACACGGTCAGCTAAAATCAAAATTCAAACACACTTATGATTATATTAGGACGATGACCATAGAAGAAGAAAAATATCAGATCATTTTAGGCATGCAACAGTAACGGTAATTTACCGGTTACAGTTGCATGTCTAGATCATTTAGTTTTAGAAAGCAGTTTTTTATCATGTATTCTACATTTTGAAAAGCGAATGATTTAGAAGCTCAGCGATTTACCCTGTTGCACTCCATCAATCCATAGAAAATCGGCTAATTTGTAGTATTTGTATGTACTACCATTGTACGTTAGCAACGATTCATTTAAGTATATAGATGTAATGTCCGTAACAAGTTTTCTTTCTTCGTCATTTTCAATTGTTAATAAATCAGCACCTTTTTTCCGACATTTTCTTTTCGCTTGAGACCATTTAGTGCAATAGGCCTTTGTATGTGTGCATTCTTGTCGTCGAAAACAAAAGTAATACAGATTCGTTGTCGTTTGAACAGTAAGACAATGATCTTCGTCATAATATACCAGCATTGCATCTGGAGATAAGAAAGAAGATGTTAGAAAGACTGATAACACAAGTCATACTTTACGCACATTTGTCATATACAGGAATTAATCTTTCAGGCCGTCTTGTAGAGACCACTACACTTCTTTCCGTAGGTATCGTTTGTGGTTGCAAAGCGGTGGGTGGCATAATCAATTCTATAAAAATCGATACTTTTTATAATACTTTGAGTTAGTCAATTACGCAAAGCTTACCA